TTTTTTTTTCTGTCTCTATGGTTTGTTTTGTAGAAAGACAACGTTTCAAATCAGCGAGAGCATGTCGTTCATCTCCTTACAAATGAGCAAAGTAGACTTCATATTCCTGAAGAACCTGAGGCGGTAAGTCTTTCATCATGTATTGAGTTGATTTTCATGGAACCTGTGCATATGTAAGGTTGTTTTATGCATGCAGTTGCTTCGTGACGCAATGTTCGTTGTTATTAATACATTGGAGTGGAGCATGTGAATTATCACGTCTTACCTTTTTTTTTTCTTCTTTTAAATAATTGAAGGGATACTATGACTTCTTTTTTTTTTTTTATTTAATGATTTCTCTATATGTTGATGCTGTGTAATAGTAACTACAAGATTGCATTTGTACTTCCAGTCTTGTGTTCTCTGCTTTCCAGAAAATTGACCAATTGTTGGGTTTACGCCATCCTGAAACAACTTCTGTTTGTTGGGTTGATAATGAGGTTCTTTGTGATGGGTTTCATCTAGGCAATGCAATATGATATTTATGTTGAAATTTTCTTTTCTTGTCATTGGGAATTGTGGTTTTGACTGGTTCTATTTGGTGGAGAATGGTCACTAATCTGCATATTCTGATACATCGTAGATTGATCGGTTGTTATTTCACCATGATTTTTGAGTGATAGTTTAACTTTGTAGAGTGATAGTTTCACTTTGTCATATCCTATCATAAACTTCTACAAAGATCTTGCAGTAAGATGTAAATGAAGAATATAGTTCTGAGTAATATTTATAAACAATAAACACAATGTAAAGTTAAGACCTCAAAGGTCGTTTTTGGAGATTTTCCACATTGAATTACTTATGGTTAATTTTCAGATATTAGACGGAGATGCTGTGCGAAGGGTATTTTTGAAGTCCCTCGACAACTATATCAAGTGGTGTAACTATTTGGGGATCTTACCCGTGTGGAGCAAGTATGCTTTCTTTCAGCAGTTCTTTGCACTGTTAATTGAATAACTCTAAATACAGAATCGTACAAGCATTGTGCGATTTCTTAAAGTGTAATTTACATTTGTCTTTTCTACTATTGCTTGTATTTTTGCAGCTTGGAAGCTGTGAGCAAAGAGAAGAAGTTAATGTTTGTTTCGCTGTACTACTTGATATGGGGTGAAGCAGCAAATGTCCGATTTCTTCCGGAATGCTTATGCTACATATTTCATCATGTACGTAGCCTTGATACTTGTTATCTACAGAATTGATATTTGCGGTAGGGTTGGGTACTTGATTTATGACTATAGCTTGGGTATATACTCCTATATTTGACATCCCTAAAATGCCTTTATCTGAATTCTTATTTTCCATTACATCTGTAGCTATAATAAGGTTTCACTGAAAAGAAATTTTGGATTTTGTTTCATTTCAGCATCAATATTTTTTATGGGGGTTCTTTTTTCCGTCATCATATTACTTCCTCATGCTGGGATACAGGTTTAGAAATTTGAGTGGAAGTGTTGTTGCCTTGGCAGGTGGAGGTTTAGTGTTTGCTGCTAGGCAAAAATTTACTGTTGGTTCAAATGTTTGAAACACTGAAAGAGCTTAGTTTTGTTCTTGTGGTACATCCTTCTTTTGAAGGAGTAACTATTGCATTCTATATTTTTTCTGAAGGGCTTGTATTTTCCTGGTCTAGATAATGCTTTAGCTATAACCCATAAGAGCCTTATCTCCTACTTGTAACAATTTATGTATTCCGTAGATGGGAAGGGAGCTCGAAGAGTTATTGCGAAACCAGGTTGCTCAACCAGCCAACAGTTGTGTTTGCGAGTCTGGAGTATCATTTATCGACCAAGTTATAAGTCCTCTTTATGAGGTTATTTCTGCGGTATGTCCTAGTACTGAATTCCTGTTCTCTCTTTTTTTTTTTTTTAGTGTGTGTAGAAGCCTAATTGATAATCATATTTCAGTACCAAATTTTTTTTAGCTAATGTCATTTCATCTCATTTCATTTGTTTATTTTTATTTTTTTCAAAAATGCGGAAGAAAGGTATACATATCTTATAATTGGATTATGTTGTGTGATCACAAGGAATCTGCAAACAATGATAATGGGCGTGCGCCTCATTCAGCCTGGAGAAATTATGACGACTTTAATGAATATTTTTGGTAAGCTGTATATGACTATTATTTTTTGCATCTATTTTTATAATAATTTTAAAGTTTGCAGTGTAGTTAATGTATGTGGTTCGTTTAAAGGTCACTGCACTGCTTTGAACTTAGTTGGCCATGGCGCAAGAGTTCTCCTTTCTTTATCAAGCCAACACCGAGGTCAAAGGTATAGCAAATTGAAAATTTTTTATTTTCCAAACTACAGTATCTCCAATTTGGATCTTGTATATTTTTCAGGAATTACCTATGTGGCATGCAGTTACTTTTTTTGTTCGCTACTTATTATAAAATTTGTTGATTAATTTCATGGGGGAACACATTTGATTAGGTAATTGCTGTTACTGTACTTGCTTATAGGTTAGGTGGATAGGTACAGTGAAAAAGACCAGATATGTTGATTTAACGCTGATATGATTATCAACTTGTGTATAATTCTGGAGAAGGAAAGTGCTTATTTTGACAAGCACTTCGTTCATGTTCTTGTTAATACTTATTTTCTTGTGGCTTATTCCATAAGTATGTAAGGAGTTACTGGCAGATAAAATGATGAGCAGCACTATATCTGGGATTTCTGATCCACATTTAGTGTTAGCACTTGGAAGTAGTGTTTTTGTCAATGTTTCAGGCATGGCATAAAGAGAAACTTTCTTTCCTTCTCCTTTGTCTTTTTTAGATAGATTCATGTATGTTTTCTTTTTTCCATTTGCAGAATGTTCTAAAATCTAGTGGAGGCAAACGCTGTGGAAAAACCTCCTTTGTCGAACATAGGACATTTCTTCATCTCTATCACAGTTTTCATCGTCTGTGGATATTCCTTCTGATGATGTTTCAGGTTTTCTAGTCACATCATATGAGTTTTATTGTATACCCTGGGAAGTATGTAGTTTCTTCAAACTCTATTTAACCCGTTTTTCTTCTTCAGGCACTTACCATCATTGCTTTCAACAGAGGTCGTTTCAACTCCAAGACCATCCGAGAAGTTCTTAGTGTTGGACCAACATACTTTGTGATGAAATTCTTTGAAAGTAATAGACCTGTTCATTTTACATTGTAATTATTTGTATCCACCAAAGGTTGGTTTGCTTATTGTCACTTGTCTCTATGTATTTTGTACCCTTTAGGTGTTCTGGACATCATAATGATGTATGGAGCATACTCTACCTCAAGGCGCCTGGCTGTTACCAGAATTTTTCTTCGCTTTCTCGTCTACAGCTTGGCTTCAGTTTTCATATGTTTCCTTTATGTGTATGTACATATGTCTTACTGTTATCGCATCCTTCTCCTTCTGTTTTTTCCCTTGCTTCACTTTATTCCTATAGATGGAGCTTTTTTGCTTGGTTTTTTGACTTTTATTTCGAATAATTTCAGGAGAGCACTTCAAGAGAGTAGCGGCAACAGCACTTCAGTAATCTATAGATTATATGTCATTGTTCTCGCCATCTTTGCGGGTGCAAAATTCTTTTTGAGTTTCTTGTTGCGCATACCAGCATGTCACCGCATGTCCAATAGGTTTGATAGTTGGCAGCTGGTTCGTTTTATTAAGTGGATGCATCAGGTTAGAATAATTATGAAGTTTTGAGTTGCATGACGAATTTTCACTTGTTCCATTAGTCTAAATAACAAAGAATGAATTGATATGTTAATGCTTATGAATCTTTTTCATCTGTCCTAGGAACATTACTATGTTGGTCGTGGCATGTATGAAAGAGCATCAGATTTCACAAAGTAATTAGCTGATCCTTTGTTGTTGAGATATTGCTATTTATTTTTTATCAGGGCTTTTGCTGGTATATGTCTCCATCTACTGTTCCTTGTGTTTTCTATGAGGCTTTAACTCGTCCTAATTTATTTTCTACAAATAAGGGCGAGTATTGTTCACTAACGAATTTAGAATATGAAGGTTATCAATAGTTATTTCACCGTTTGATATGAGTTTGGTATTACTTGTCTTTCTTTATTCTTCCATATGGATTGTAGTAAAAAGTACTAGGTACTGGGTAGTACTGTGCGAGTGTGCTCTCTCTCTCTCTCTCTCTCTCACTCGCTCACTCGCTCGCTCACTCACTCACTCGCTCGCTCACTCACTCGCTCGCTCACTCACTCACTCATCCACTCTCTCTCTATCTTTTTCTTCCTTTGTTATTCTGGCTGATAGAAATAAGAATGTCAATTTCACTTTTCGTTTTGTTCTTTTCAAATTGTAACCTTTTATCTTCTTACATACAGGTTATGTCTCTAATGAGTTCACTCGTTAGTTTTGAATAAACATGCTTCTAATAAAATAAATAGAGTAATGCTATAAGTACATAATATTGTACATAGGGGTGTACATAACACTCACATTGAGTGGGACCCATCAAAAATAAAAAATCAAGTGGACCCCACTCCATGTGAGTGTTATGTACACCTCTAATTGATTTGAGAAAAAAAAAATTGATTCGTCTTTCAAATAAGAATAATATCTTTCAAACCTTTTAATTTTTGAGAAAAAAAAATTGATTTGTCTTACTGTGATGACGTCGTCGATTGTAATAGTGTAATCAAAGTACTTTTGAAATGATAACGGAAACTGATAAATCATAAAATATCTTATTTATGTGAATGAGTTGATAGTTACCCACAAGAGAGTAACTTACATATTTATATTTAGGATTCGAGGAATTATATACTGCATATTGATGAGAAGGGATTGAATCCCCATCAAGTTAAGCTTCAGTTTATTACTTTTCTAGTTATTAGTCTAATGCAGATATATGGTCTTCTTGTCGTGTAATACAGGTACATGATCTTCTGGTTTGTGGTGCTTGGATGTAAATTTGCTTTTGCTTATTTCCTTCTGGCAAGTGCTGTAACTTTTATGTCATCTAAGTATGCTGATTTTTTTATCAGTTCCAGTGTTATAAAATGGCGGTCATGGCAGTATGACGTGGCGAATTTCTGCCAAACCGCCATGCAAAATTTGTGAAGGATGGCGGTGCCATACGCTGTATGGCGGGATTTTGGCCTGCCGCTGTTTAGCGCCACCCACTATTAATAACACTGATCACTTCCATACTCCCTGCTTCCACTAAGATAGGCTTGGAGAAAAAAAGTACAAAGATTAAGAAAACACAATAAATGTGCTTGGTAATGTAATATCGAGTAATGCTCCCCTACCCACGGTGGGCACATTTTAATATGCTCACCGCTTATGTGGCATGCACATTGGTGATGTATTTTTTTTAACATATTAATATCACCAATGTGTGTATGCCACATAAGCGGTGGGCATATTAACATGTGCCCACCGTGGGTAGGTGAGCATTATTGATGTAATATCTTCTGTTTTTATTCAATTTTTCAATGCAATATCTACATTAGCTTTTAGAATTAAATTTTCAACTAATTAAATCAAATAGTTAAAAAAAATAAGCAATGGAACATTAGTCCTTTGGTGTTTCATTAGTATTGATACTACTAAAAAGAAACAATTGTATAATTCGGAATGCACGAAAAAGGAATACAAGCCTATCTTAGGTTGATGGAGGGAGTTCGAATCGGCTATTTATGTTGTTATGCTCAATTGGGTCTTGTGCCTCGTGTTGCAGATAAGGCCTTTGGCTGGACCTACACGAACAATAGTCAACATGGATATAAGACTATATTCTTGGCATGATTTTGTATCCAAAAGTAAGCCCAACTTGTATGCGTTTTTGAAATTCTTGGTACCTTCCATTCATATTTCTAGTAATTTTTTGGTTTTATTCTGATGTCCTTCCATGCATGCAATTTTTAGTTGGTAAATTGCTATTTTCTCTTGTAGATAATCACAATGCTTTGACCATAGTAAGCTTATGGGCGCCCGTGCTGGCTGTAAGTATGCTTTTTATATTCTTGTAACTGTTTACTTTTTCTATTTTTTTGGTCCGTTTCCTCTGCTTTTGAGCCTCAGAAACCGACAATTCCCGTTACTGCATACTTTTACCGTGTTTTGGTATCTTATCCTGTAGAAAAAAAAAAAAATAGAAGAAAAATGTGGAAGAAAAGTAGCATTTAATAAGGCAGATGCATTTAATAAACAAGCCTTTAATTTATTGAGACCAGGAGTAAGATCATGAACAACAATGTCAATTTATGACGGGACATTGCAATTTGTCAGAAGTTGGCTTCGAACGGACTCAAAATCTTTATGAAGACCATGAAGAATGAATGCCATACACATTTGATCGAGTTTGGTTGTCGTTTTAGTGAGTTTATCACAAAGTGAGAGCTTTTTTACTTCATCGGTTGTAGACTGAGCTTTGTTCAAATAAGAAGGAAGATCTTGATCTATCATCTGTCATCTGGCCAAGTTATGAGTGACATCATTAATGCATTGAATATCATTTGACTACACGTTCCGAGGTTTCTTCTGCATGTCATAGGAGGACATATAGGTATGCATGTGGACCATCAGTTTAAGATCAACAGACTGTCACAGTATGGAAACTAACTGATAATCAACTTCTATTCATTTTTCACGCTTTGAGGCATCATCAATCTGTTCAGATTTTTTTTCCAAGTGGTCATAAAACCTTGACCAGAAAACCAAATTTCCACTGCATTTTGCCAATCTACATAATTTTCCCGTTAAGCTTTTCAAAAGTAATGGTGGGAGGACTTGTAAAAGAGGGAAACGTTGTGTGTCCCTACTATTTGCTGAAACAGAAGCAGGCCAGAGGTCATTTTGGTGGGTGTATTCACAAAAAAAATAAAAAAAAGAGACTGAAAAACCTCCAATGAGTAATGGGTTGAAGAAATGACCACATATACAGAGAGAGAAGGCGCCAGAGAGCTTAACATGGCTGGTGGTGAGGTCGCCGGAGCTCTGGAAGGTGGTGTGTGGACTTGACGCGCCAATTTGGCAACCCGCGTGTGACCTAGAAGAAGGCAGCGAGAATCGTATCGTGTGGCTGATACGACACCAGCGAATTTGTCTGTGGGGCACGTGACCTTCTTCGAGCTGTCAGAACTTGAGTTCAGATGGAAATACTTGAACTATGGTTCTTTTTTCTATTATTGTGGTCGCTGATATTCTGATAAATGATAGATGAGAGAAGAAATTAAACAAATCAGGCCCACAGATCGTGGGCTCTGATACCATCTTGAAAAGAGGAGTCAGATGTTGAAAGCAGAGAAGAGTTGTGAATGTTTTGGTTGAGAAAGTCTCTCAGCTTTATACTAATATATAGGCAACTCATACAGACAATATCCCTTAATTATAGGAATTAAATAAGAAATTACAATAATCAGTTTCCCTTCCTGTAAACTACTAATATAAGAAAATCAAAGAAACTATCTTATCGTATCTCAACACTATGAAATCAAACCTCCCAACTTTCCATTTACTTCATGCTGCAGATTTACCTGATGGATATCCATCTATTCTACACCATCATATCTGCTCTATGGGGTTTCCTGTTGGGCGCCAGAGATCGTCTTGGAGAGGTAATGCATTTTATTGTACAGCTTCTGTGTTTCAGGTTTCTTAGTTAACTTTTAACCATTTAGGTGTGTATGAAATATATGCCTATGTTCTTACCATGTGTTTTGCGGGGTATGTAAATGTTTTTGTTATTGGACTAGTATGACAATAGGGGAGTTATAATTGTACTCCTTTTCCACTCCAACATTCAAACTTCCTTTCCTTGATCCTCAGATTAGATCTCTGGATGCTGTTCATCAACTTTTTGAGAAATTCCCAGCAGCTTTCATGAATACCCTGCACATACCACTTCCTAGCAGGTTCTCTCTTTTAATGGAATTTTTATTCGTGATTATGAGAACAGTGGGATTATCTGTTTGAAGATCTACCTGTTCCACTTACATGTTGCTTTCTAATTAAATTTAGTGCTAATTTCTGCAGGGAATTTCTGCAGCCATCTGGTCAGGTTAGTTAGATGCACCCGTGAGATCTAGTAGGCCCTTTTATAATCATATGATACTTTTGGGTAGTAAAGACGTTGATTTTTTTTTTTTTTTTTATTAACCACCGGTCCCCAACAATACAGATGACAATCTCCTCAGTATTGTTTTTGGAGTCTTGGACTTGAGAATATGTATACAAGGACTGGGGATGAGTTTTAATGTTTTAAATCCTTGGATAAATGTTATTTGATTGATGCTAATTCCATTGCTTGGAAAATGATAGAATTTAGCTAAATATGATGAAAGTCTGTCAAAAAACTAATTTGTTTTTCTATATATTTGAACTTTTGATTTTTGAAATTCAGAATTCAATTTTGATAAAGTCCTTCAATTTGATTTATATTCAGCCCCCTTTTGATTTTATTCGTTTATACAATATTTGGGATCAATTTTATGTCATTCGGTTGTGTCTCAATCTCATGCAACCAACACGTTAATGTCTGCAAGGATGTGGAAAAGGACAAAATTGATGCTGCTCAGTTTGCCCCCTTTTGGAACGAAATCGTAAAGAATCTGAGGGAGGAGGACTATATCAGTAATCAGTGAGTTTCACTAGTGCAGCTTTTGCAAACTATGTTACTGTACTTCCTCAAATTATTTTAACTTGGTCAAATCTCAATTTACACGTGACATTACTATGTTGAAATGTAGGGAAATGGAGTTGCTTCTGATGCCGAAAAATTCAGGAAGTCTTCCACTAGTCCAGTGGCCGCTTTTTCTTTTAGTGAGCAAGGTGTGTTGATGACTTGATGTCACTTATTGTGAAGCTACTTTTCTTGTTTTATATTCTCCTTTTGCAGTTTATCTGATGTACATGTCACTGTGTGAATTACCAAATGATGCAGATTTTCCTGGCAAAAGATATTGCTGTGGAGAACAGAGAGTCGCAGGAAGAGATGCGGGATAGAATTTCAAGGGATGATTACATGAAATATGCTGTTGAGGAGTGTTTTTTCAGTGTCAAATATATACTTACAGCAATATTAGATGATGAAGGAAATAATGAAGGAAAGAAGTGGTAAATTATATAATATACTTGAAAATTATTCCCCCCTTTTTTTCTTCAACTCTAATCGATTTTTTTCTGGTTTTTTTTGGACATTAGATTCATTTGTAGTTTATGCTTGATATCACGGAGAATAACTATAATACCAATTGAAACATGCCAGGGTTGAAAGAATATATGAAGATATCCGAGGAAGCATAGCGAACAGAAGTATTCATGTTGACTTTCGGCTAAATAAACTGCCTCTTGTTATTCAGAAAGTTACAGCGCTACTGGGAATACTGGTTCGTAGTAATTAATATGCCCTTGACAGTTGACCCTCTTATCAAATATGATGTTAGTTGATACTGTTGTAGGAAAGGATGTTATTTTCTTATCACAGTTTCAGCAACCCTGAAAACCTTGCATGTTTCGTATACTTTCTTTGTCTTTTGCTGTGTGAGATTGTGCCTTTCTTGACTTTTTATGTTGGAGAGGGTTGCCAGTGTATGCACAACATTACAACAAGATATGAATGCAACAAGATTACGATGGACACATAAGATAAGACACGACAGCGTGGAATGATATGAAAACATGTAATTGAAAATTTAGTTAAATGTAGATCTGTTGTAATATTAATGATCAAACAAACTAGATAACATGGAAACAAGATAGTGGGAATGATCAAGCTACACAACATGTAAATAAGATTGTGAGAAGCCAACTCAATACAATGACACAATTTGCCTCCCTAGTGTTGGAGGGAATAGTTTCATACACAAAGGGATATGATGGCTAGAATGTTTTCTTGCATGTATATTTTCAACTGCGGACAGTTTCTTCTGTTAGTGATTTATCTTTGGACTCTTCTAGCAGAAGGTTTTTAGAAAGATTTTTTTACGTTGTACTTTATTTGCTGTAAAAAAGAATCTTGAACTGTAGGCGGATGGTTACTTCTTTCACTATAAACTGCACATAAGCCCACAAGTCATTCAGTATGATATGGAACTGTTTCCCAGTAGGGCATAAGTTGGAATTTTAGATGCTTCTGAAATTGTTTGGATATGTCGGCTTCTTTGTGGTGGCTTGGAATAATTATATTTGTTTTTCCAAGTTGTTTGGAAATTTCATTGGTTAATTTCTGTATGCAGAAGAAGGATCAAACACCTGAACTCGAAACCGGTGCAGTGAAAGCTATTTTAGATCTTTATGATGTTATGCGACATGATGTTCTTTCAATTAACATGAGGTTTGTGCATCTTTTTTTTAAGATTCTGTTGGCATTTACTCATCTGGCTTCTAAATCAGAACTGTCCAATCTTGTGCAGGGATCATTATGAGACATGGAATATGCTTTCAAAAGCAAGGACTGAAGGTCGTCTCTTTCAAAATTTGAAGTGGCCTAGAGATGCTGAGCTGGTTTGATCTGTTTAAATATATAGTTTCTTTGCCTATATATCTGTCCATCAAATCATTGCAAGAGCTAAATTGTACAAACTTGTTCAGAAAGCACAAGTCAGCCGATTGTATTCACTCCTTACCATCAAAGATTCTGGCGCAAATATCCCCAAGAACCTTGAGGCAAGAAGAAGGCTAGAGTTTTTCACTAATTCCTTGTTTATGGAGATGCCTGCCGCTAAGCCTGTCCGAGAGATGCTATCCTTTAGGTAATTGATTCATTCTGACACCAATGGTGTGGGGCAATAACTTGTATTAGGTTCTTATATTTATGTCCACTTGTTTGTGCAGTGTGTTCACTCCATATTATTCGGAGATTGTACTTTATAGCATGACTGAACTCCTTAAAAAAAATGAAGATGGCATTTCAACTTTGTTTTATCTTCAGAAGATATATCCAGGTATCACCTGCTTACCAGTCTTATATTTAATGATGAACCTGCTGAATATGTTCTTTAAGCAGACGTTGAGATAATCATTTTCTTAATGTGTTTTGTTTTTGTAGTATCACATTTTGATATCTTGATCATGTTCAGGCTTGTTCAGAGTCGATAACCTCTTATTAATATATAATGATGTGGTGTAATGAGAATTTGAGAACAATAATTTCGTTTATTGATGATATATTTTATATTTTATAGATGAATGGAAAAACTTCCTTGCTCGAATTGGCCGCGATGAAAATGCATCAGAGACGGAACTTGGTGATAATCCTAGTCATATCCTTGAGCTGAGGTTTTGGGCTTCTTACCGAGGGCAGACATTGGCTAGAACGGGTGTGGGTCTTAGATTTTGCTTGCCATACTCAATTGTTTTTGTAGTCTAATGGTACAAAGTTTCCTGCCTTCGATGGCAGTAACCTGTAGTACTTCAATTTTGTTTTCAAATACTAAGAATGGTGCTTTGAGCTTTTAGATTTTCCTTAGCTGTTTTCTGAGTTTGATTGTACAGAAAATGTGCCTTTATGTCACTTTCCAACTGATTTATGGTCATAATATGCATTACCAGTCCGACAATGATATATTATTTAAGCATTCTTACAAATCCTATATTTTAATCCTTATTTTACACCTGTGGCATTTTTTTTGAAATGCATGTGTAATCTCACAACACCATAACATTTGTAGTTGGGAATATTAATTTGAACATTACTTTATATTGTATCTTCTTTATGACTTCCTACTTACATCTTGACTTCACTGAAAGCAGTTCGAGGAATGATGTACTACAGAAAAGCTCTGATGCTTCAAGCATATCTGGAACGGATGTCAGTTGGAGGTCTGAAATTCGAATTAGTAATTACCAATGTTCTTTGAATATTTAGTTATCATATTTATTTATGAAAGGTCTGGGTTAATTTCAGATTTGGAATCTGGTATTGGCAATCGATCAGCTGATGTTCAAGGTTTTGAGTTGTCTCCGGAAGCAAGAGCTCAAGCGGACCTGAAGTTCACTTACGTTGTAACATGTCAGATATATGGGAAGCAGAAAGAAGAACAGAAACCTGAAGCTGCAGACATTGCTCTGTTAATGCAAAGGTTTTTAACTCTACCAATTTTTCAGTTTCAAATTGAATGTCATGCTTTACCTCCTATTTTCTGCCGAAGGATTTGTGACTGTTACAGTAATGCTAATTCATTTTAGTTTAGTGAAAAATGTTCCATACATAACATTAACACATTATTACATATATGAATGTGGCCTAAATCTGCCAGTTCGGTAATAAAATATTGAGCCAATATGTTCAAACTGGTGTTGTATTTGTATTTTGTTCTATGAACAATTAATTTAGGTGTTACAATTTCTTTCAACTGGTCAATTTTTGTCTTGTAATTCTTGTTTTCCTCATCCGTATACTATGAACAGAAATGAAGCTCTTCGAGTTGCTTTCATTGACGTGGTTGAAACTATGAAGGATGGGAAAGTGCACACTGAATATTTCTCTAAACTTGTGAAGGCTGATATCAATAAGAAAGACAAGGTTTGCGAAGTTTTTGTTTTCCGTTCTAGTTGGTGTTAGAAAATTCTAAAGCTTAATTGTTGTGCTTGAAAGTGACAGATCATTATTAAGCTTCCCATTCTCAATTAAATTTCAATATATATTACTTTTGTTAAGAAAAAAGGAAGAAAGTGAAATAAATTATATACTTTTTCAGATTTAATTGCAGTTTGTATGAATACCAGGGTAAACAGAGGATTTATCTGTGTACAAAAAATTGTATGACACTGGAAATCTGGGAAAAATTTTGAACTTGCTTCTCAGGCTTTGACAGTTGTGTGACCTCAAAACCCCTCATTAAAAAGAAATCTAATTTTCTATTATATTATATTATTATTATTATTATTATTATTATTATTATTATTGTTATTATTATTATTATTATTATTATTATTATTATTATTATTATTATTATTATTATTATTATCAATCTTTCTGTTTGCCTAAGGCTAAATAGATTCTTCATTTTCTGCCCAATTTCAGCCTTCTTTCTTCCTGTTCCTGTTTTTTATATTACAGTTATCGAACTCAAAGGGATTGTTTTCACACACATCTTTGGATCTCGATGTGCCTTATGCGTTCAAAGCTATTGCTGTTAATTGTTTTTATTTCTCCATTTAAAATCTGATGGTTATATTTTCGTCTTATTTAGATTTTATTTAATTGAGGACCATTTCTTTGTCATATCGTGAAACTTATCATACTGTCTCGTTGTTTGGCTTGTCTAGTTCGTCTTCTTCAGATGTCATTGAGTCAGTTGGTCCTGGTATCTAAAATTTAGTCTGAAATTTGCAGGAAATATATTCAATAAAGCTACCAGGGAATCCGAAACTCGGTGAAGGCAAACCAGAAAATCAGAATCATGCTGTAGTATTCACTCGCGGTAACGCTGTGCAGACAATTGATATGAATCAGGTTTGAATTCCAGGCTCAGTTAAACATGTCCTATCATCACACTATTTAGCTGTGTAGAAGTAAGACAAAAAAAAGTAAAGCGTATGATGGGTATTATATATAGTTAATTTGTTCGTGGCATTTTTTGGCTTGATACTGTGGGTTTCCTTTTTCAACTCATGAACGCATAACTGTACTGTTCCATATCTGCTAATTTTTACTTCCCTCAGGATAACTATTTCGAGGAAGCATTGAAGATAAGAAATCTTCTTGAAGAGTTCAACTGTGATCATGGATTACGTCCACCTACTATTCTTGGTGTCAGGGAGCATGTATTTACTGGAAGGTGTTCTGAATTGACAAGAAAACATATTCAATTGTCTCTCTTCTCCTTTACTATGTCTTAACTCATTCTCTTTTGGATGCAGTGTTTCTTCTCTGGCATACTTTATGTCGAGTCAAGAATCTAGCTTTGTCACGCTTGGTCAGCGTGTTCTAGCAAATCCTCTGAAGTAAGTGATCATTTGTAAATATGTTCTTTTGCAAGATGTGTACGTTTGTAATGCTGATATTCTTGTCGTCACCAGGGTTCGTATGCATTATGGCCATCCTGATGTCTTTGATAGAGTTTTCCATATCACAAGGGGTGGGATCAGTAAGGCATCTCGTGTAATCAATATTAGTGAAGATATCTTTTCAGGTATTGCTCGCGTTAACTAATCAATCTATTATATGATCTTTGAGTCTTTTTCCCTGTGATCTGCATTTAACCTAATCTATTGCCTGTGAAGTTTTATTTACAAATAAAGAATTAGCATAATCTTTGATTAGCAATAATGAGAATTTTGTGTTTACTCAGTTTAATTCTTATTTTTCGGCATGCCACCAAGAAGCATAAAATACTTGTAGATAGTATAACACCTGTAATCAGATGACATAACTTGATCACCAGAGTTTCCTATTTTGTCAAAGTACCACTCTTGCATTAGCTGAGCTTGTGATGGCTTAATGAATCTTAATCGAAGTCGAGGCATATTAATCTGGAACTGGGAAAATGCAGGTTTCAATTCAACTTTACGCCAGGGAAATGTGACTCACCATGAATATATTCAGGTAAGCTTTAGCATTTCCTAAGAGGCTGAAACGCATCAACACCGACATCTTTGAGATGCTTAACTTAAATGAATTTTATATAGGTTGGCAAGGGGCGAGATGTTGGGCTCAATCAAATTGCTCTTTTTGAGGGTAAAGTTGCTGGGGGTAATGGTGAGCAAGTTCTTAGTAGGGATGTTTACAGACTTGGGCAGCTCTTTGATTTCTTCAGGATGTTGTCTTTCTACTTCACCACTGTTGGATACTACTTTTGTACCATGGTTAGCTTGTCATGCCATATTTTTTTCCCTAACATTTTGGTTTATGTTATCTGTTTCTAATACGTATTCTAAGTTTAGTTGTGAAGAACAGTTTTTGTATTAGCTTGTCTACAATAGTTGAAGGTGTGTTTTCACTTTCACACTACCATCGAATAACTTCAACTGATTTTTTCATATATACGTGCAGCTGACAGTGCTGACACTATATGCTTTTCTCTACGGGAGGGTATATCTGGTAAGCATCGTGGCACTGTTGTTTAATTTTGTTTTTCTAGTTGTTATAAGCATCTTTTATGCAGTCCACTTGGTTAGCTAGTTGTTTGTTTAATTCATATTCCATAATTTTATTACTTTTCCTATCTTGAATAAGATAGTCGTGACTGAAATTTTAAAGGTAATTTGACATTATGTTCATTTTTCAAGGCTTTATCTGGGGTTGGTGAAACTATACAAGACAGAGCGGATATATTAGGCAATACAGCTCTTAGTGCGACCCTGAATGCGCAGTTCCTGTTCCAGATTGGTGCATTCACAGCAGTTCCCATGATTTTAGGCTTCATCTTAGAACAGGGTTTTCTGAGGGTATGTTATGTATAATCTAAACTGTTTGTGATACAAGTGCCCAAGACCCACCTCAATCATTCACTCGTCCTTACTGTAATTCTACGTTGTTCAAGGTGGGATGTATGTTAGAGCCTCAGTACTTCTAGTTCTGATTTGTTTCTTTCTTGGTGTCCCCTGCTTTTCTGCACAGGCTGTTGTTAGCTTTGTCACCATGCAATTTCAGCTCTGTACAGTCTTCTTCACGTTCTCGCTGGGAACTAGAACACATTACTTTGGGCGGACTATACTTCATGGTGGTGCAAGGGTATGCCTTACTTTTTGTCCTTTCTTCCTGTATAAGAATCCATCACCTGATTACTTATAAATTAGAATCGTTTTTGCAGTATCAAGCCACTGGCCGAGGATTTGTGGTTCGCCACATCAAGTTTACTGAAAATTACAGGCTTTACGCGAGAAGTCACTTTGTGAAAGGGTAAGTCCCCCTCCCCCCTCTCTCTATTTCTGTGTGTTTGTGTGTGCGTGCGTTGAGTATTAACTTCATGTTGGTACTTCAGAATGGAGATTGTGCTGCTATTGGTGATATACCTTGCATATGGATACAATGACGGTGGTGCTTTATCCTATATCCTTCTCACCGTTAGCAGTTGGTTTCTAGCTTTGTCATGGCTGTTTGCCCCATATTTGTTCAACCCGTCTGGATTTGAGTGGCAGAAGTAAGTTGCTCTGTCGAGTGGTGATATGCATATTTTCATGCTTTTAGTATTGCTGATTTAAAATATTTTATCATTTGTAATTAAGGACTGTGGAGGACTTCCAAGATTGGACAAACTGGCTTCTTTACAGAGGTGGAATTGGAGTTAAAGGAGAGGAAAGCTGGGAGGCCTGGTGGGATGAAGAGCTGGTATGACCTGTGATCTTATTTTAAAATATCATATCATGACGTTGACATGTTCCTTTATGATTTGTCTGGAGAGATTATTTGTTTACTTTCTTGTATATATGTTCTTATGAAGTTATGTATTCTTTTTACTGGTTGTGATATTAAATTGAGGTACTCTTTGGATAGGAAGTGAAATGACGAACCAGGCAAAAATTTTGATTAGTTCCAATTTTGGTGATTATTATTTTTACTAGTACAACACGGGGTAATACACGGGTGCTTGTTAAAAAATTATTCTTAAATTTTATAATTAATTAGAAAACTATATTAAATTTAGTTAACTTTTTTACAAAAAAAAAATATATTACTATATATTTTAGAATGATATGTGTTACTTATGACTTACATATGTTATATTATATTTGTTTTTATAACTTATATCATATAACTACTAGAAATATAAATATATTAGTTGATAAATAATTTTATTTTTCTTATTAATATTAAAAATAATTTTATTATTGTTATAAAGATAAATATAATTTTTTTTTTTTATACATACAATATGAATGTTAAATCGAAACTCATCAAAAGAAGATTAATTTGATATATTACATATGTACAACTGATAAAAAATACAAAAGTTATTAACTTTTAAAATATATATACAATTCAATAGTTATAATAAGGAATGATATTAAAATGCAATTAATACATATAACATGACCATAAATAATCAAATCAACATATTTATGGTAATTCGAACCTAATTATTTTTTGTTTGGACTTAAATTAAAATTTACCCAAGCCTAATAACGAAGCATGTAATTTTGCCACATAGGATTCCGAAGCACCAGAAGCAGTCACGTTGGCTCACCAGCGCGTTCTGAATTAATATATAGGGGGGATTATTATTATTATTATTATTATTATTATTATTATTATTATTATTATTATTGTGTTTCTTTTCCACCACTTTTGCTGCCTAACGTCAATTTGGATTTGCGAGCATTGTTTTTGGCACAAACATTTGAGCTCTTTGCGAGCATTGTTTTTGGCACAAACATTTGAGCTCCTTACATGCGTTTACTAACACATTGTGCTTTGATGCAGGCTCATCTTCGAACATTCAGTGGCAGAGTGATGGAAACCATTCTTAGCCTACGGTTTTTCATCTTCCAGTACGGTATCGTATACAAGCTGCATGTGCAAGGATCGGATACATCACTTACGGTGCAACCTTTATCTTGAGCCAGAAATAGCTTATTAGGGAAAAAAATAAAATTAATTCATTCTCTGTTTTTATTTCTTTTTAGTGATCTTTTTTATACAACTTAGCTGTTTGTTAGATGAGAATTGACAAGTAATTATTATTTCAATTTTCAGGCCTATGGATTTTCATGGGTAGTGTTTGCTGTGCTTATACTTCTTTTCAAGGTCAGGTTTTTAGATTTTATATCTATAATGCAACGAACTCCTAGCTTCGAAAGTCGAATTTAATCTCAAAATTGCTTTCTGGACTTCCAACAGGTTTTCACCTTCAGTCAGAAAATGTCCGTGAATTTCCAGCTGCTGCTTCGTTTCATCCAAGGTGTCGCGTTTTTACTTGCGGCTGCTGGTTTGGCTGTCGCCATTGTACTTACTAATCTCACCATCACCGATGTATTTGCTTGTCTCTTAGCTTTTCTCCCCACCGGGTGGGGAATTCTCTCTGTAAGTTTTCTCCCGTATAAAAAAGATGAACGTCACTTTTTTTTTTCCTCTTTTAGTGCTTTCAAACGGCAATACTCCCTACTATTTGTAGAAAATGAAAGCCCTTAAAGATGTAGTCCTTTTACTCTCTCTCTCTCTCTCTCTCTCTCTCTCTCTCTCTCTCTCTCTCTCTCTCTCTCTCTCTCTCCTCCTAGATTGCTTGTGCTTGGAAGCCTTTGGTGAAGAAAATAGGATTGTGGAAGTCCATGCGGTCGATCGCTCGTCTATATGATGCTGCTATGGGGATTGTTATTTTCATCCCAATTGCTTTGTGCTCGTGGTTCCCATTTGTGTCGACTTTCCAAACAAGGCTCATGTTCAACCAAGCTTTCAGCCGGGGTCTCGAAATTTCTCTTATCCTTGCTGGGAACAACCCCAACACTGGCATATGATCATATTCGTTTGTATATAAAGTACAAGTTCCTCTTTCTTCCTCTCCTTTTCCTTTTTTTCCCAAGTGACATTTTTTTGGTTGATATTAGTTTTGGTTGCTGTACTGTTTGGAGCTTATATTTTTTGTATCCATCAAATTTGTTTCTTTTTTGCTAAAATGTCGAATTCCTGTGGCCTAATTTATGCTTCTGCGTATATGTGCCCCTATTAAACATTAACGGGTCAAAAGAATTAACACGAAGTGAAGGAAGTGATATGTGCATTGTACGATGTTTGTAATTAGTCTAATGACTCGGCGAGGGATTGAATATTTAGCAGCATTTGATTTTTTATCGACTAAAAGCAACTCAGTATTAAAACAACGTGAATTTTAGCAATTTAGTTAGACTGTCATGCTTAAATTACTCGTCAATTTACTTAGTTTTTCATCTTACATTAATTCACATCGAAAACATTTTACTATTACGGTTATTAGCATATTTTTCAGGAAAGGGTACTGAGTAGAGCTGTCAAAATAGCTCGCGGGGAGCCCTCGTCCCACCCCCTCCCGCCTCGCAAAAGGGGCGGGTTGGGCTTTTATTTTCAAGGCCAGCTAGGGAGTGGGCATACGCGGACTGGCCCGTGCGGGTTGAGGCGAGGCGGGGTAACCTGCGGGACGGTCTGCATAATTAAAAAAAAAACATCATTATATAAATTGGAAGGTCAGGTGTAGACATCGATATTTTAATATTTTATTAATTAGTGTCTTTATTTATTTTGGACATAAATCCAAGATAAATAAGATATTTAATTAAAAAATTAATTATTTCTTGCCTACCAAATCAAATCATAAGATAATGAAAGAAATTATATCAAATTTTAGGAGAATGAGATAGATTATGTCAAATCATGAAGGACCAATCAAATTGAAGTTTTTTTCTCTAAGATTCTCTCTCCTACACCAATAAATAGGGCTCTCCTCAATGACAAATCACACCTTAAAATATCAAACACATCTAAAAAATAAAAGTCTCAAATTTAAGAGCTCTAAAAAATACTCTTGAAGATTTGAAGAAGTTTCTGAAGAACCGCCCGAAGTCAGTTTAATGAAGAAAAAGAAAAAGAGGCGACGACTCTTCCCCAAGAAGTAAAGAGACGACTTCCACGCTTCTCAAGTCAATCTAAGAATATCAACGACGTTCAAGCCTGCGTTCGTTGAGAAGTTCCACCCACATAGCGTTTTATTGGGAAAAAGCTATCAAGCCCTCGAATCAACGTTATTCAAGTCAAAGTCCCTCTTTCTAGAAAATCAAAGAAACGAGTTCTCCAAGAAGTTTTCTTTAATCAAGTCAAGACCTAACATTTAATACGGGAATAAGTCATTCGACCCCCAAATTAATGTTAGAGAAATTCAAGACCAAGCCCGAAGGAGATTCAATCGTCAAATCCATCTTTTAAGGCCTCAAGCCCAAATTAATGAAGAGAAGAATCAGAGGAGATATATTAAGATGATAATTGCATTTCGTTTGATCGAAATAAAATCAAGTTGTACAAAAGTTTTATGTTTTTCATAAAATTTGTTATTACAAATTTGGCACGCCAGTGGGACATTTTCTACCTCTCATCTCTTCTCTCCATATCAAGTTCGAATATCTTTGAAGATGCATGAAGACCTATGTGAAGAAAATGTACATGGGGGCAACGAAGGTTGATGTCTTCCCAAGCCATGAGTCCGTAAAAAATCGTCGTGTTCATCAAATATCTGAATGGAGGAAACAAAAAGTGGTCTTCCATATTCTTCTCAAATCCCATGGGGGCAATTTACATGGAAAGCTCCATCAAATCCACATATTCAAATGCTCCTTGATATGAGCCTAAACTATCTACAAATTCAAATGCTCCTTGATATGAGTCTAAACTATCTACAAATTCAAATACGAGCCTAAACTATCTACATATTCAATGCTCCTTGATACAAGTCTAAATTGTCTACATATTCAAATGCTTCTTGATATGAGCCTAAACTATCTATAAAGCTCCTCGATATGAGCCAAAACTATCCATACCTCAAGTTCAAATGCTCATTGATATGAGTTTAAACTATCTAAACATTCAAATGCTCCTTGATATGAGCCTAAACTATATACAAATCAATGCTCCTTGATATGAGCCTAAACTATCTACATATCCAAATGCTTCTTCATATGAGCCTAAACTATCTACATATTCAAATGCTTCTTGATATGAGCATAAACTATCTACATGTATAATGCTCCTTGACACGAGCCTAAACCATCTACATGTACAATGCTCCTTGATACGAGCATGAACTATCTACATATTCGATGTTCCTTGATAGGAGCCTAAACTATCTATATATTCAGATGCTCCTTGATACGAGTTTAAACTATCTACTTATTCAAATGCTCCTTGATATGAGCTTAAACTATCTACATATGTTCCTTGATACGAGTTTAAACTATCTGCAATGCTCCTTGATATGAGCACAAATTATCTATATAGCTCCGTGACATGAGCATAAAATGTCTACATATCAAGATCTCATTGACACCAGAATAAAAGGTCTATATATCAAACTTGAAATTCTCCTTGACACGAGAATAAAAGGTCTACAAGTCAAATATCGAAGGCTCATTGACATGAGCATAAAATGTCTACAAATTTGAAGACTCCTTGATACGAGTATAACTATCTATCAAATCAAATCAAGACTCCTTGATACGAGTTTAAACTATCTACAAATCATGTCAAATGAAGAACTCCTTGATACGAGTATAAATATATGTCAAATCAAAATCTACAAATTAAGTGAAATGAAGAAACCCTTGATACGGGTTTAAACATGAAAGGTCTAGCATCAGTCGTTTCAGCAAGTGGTTAACTGCTGCTGCGGCGGTCTGCTGCAGAAGAATGGTAGGGGAACAGTCCTCACTACTATCTACAAACTCAAGTCGAAGAACTCCTAGATAAGGGTTTAAACTATCTGCATGTCCAAACTAAATTCAAAATTTTGAGACTCATTCACTACCAAGACATTTTGTCCGTGAACAAGTCTCAAGGGGGCAGTTGTGGACATCGATATTTTAGTATTTTATTTAGGCATAAATCCAAGATAAATAAAATATTTAATTAATAAAATAAGTATTTCTTGTTCCCTAAGTCAAATCTTAGGATAATGAAATAAATTATATCAAATCTTAGGAGAAGGAAAGAGATTATGTTAAATCATGAAGGACCAATCAAATTGAAGTCTTCTTCACCAAAGACTCTCTCTCCTACACCTATAAATAGGGCTCTCGTCAATGCCACAAATCACACCTCAAAATATCAAACACATCTCAAAAATAGAAGTCTCAACTTCAAGAGCTCTCAAAACACTCTTGAAGATTTGAAGAAGCTCTTGAAGAACCACCTGAAGTCCGTTCAATGAAGAAGAAGAAAAAGAGGCGGCGGCTCTTCCCCAAGAAGTAAAGAGACGACTTCCACGCTTCTCAAGTGAATCCAAGAATATCAACGACGTTCAAGCGACATTCAAGCTACGTTCGTTGAGAAGTTCCACCAACATAGCGTTTGATCAGAAAAAGTTATCAAGCCCTCGAATCAACGTTATTCAAGTCAAAGTCCCTCTTTCCAGAAGATCAAATTCGACCCCAAATTAATGTTTGAGAAATTCACGACCAAGCCCGAAGGAGATTCAATCGTCAAATCCATCTTTCAAGGCCTCAAGCCCAAATTAATGAATAGAGATGGTACCTGCATTTCATTTGATTGAAATAAAATCAAGTTGTACAAAAGTTTTATGTTTTTCGTAAAATTTGTTGTTACACCGGGATTAAGTAAAATCTTGATTTAAAAGCTGTTGAATTCTTGTCTTATATAATAAGTTAGATGCAAAACACAGAGTCACACATCTCTATCCCTCTATCCCTCGCCTTACCGGTTGCACAGCAGCAGAAGAAATCTGCCTCTCATCATAATTTGCGATACCGCCTCTCCCATGTCGCCTCTCACCGACCTCCGCCTCTGGCCTCGGTCTCCGGCGTCGGACTTCAAGAACCGCTTTCAGCTTTCGCCGCCTCCATCTCCTGCCTTCGAAACCCTATGTACTATCCTGCTCTCGGTCCATCAACTGGCTCAGAACACGTTTTTTTTTTAACAACCAATAATTGGGCAGCTCTCTGCAGGCTCAATCCTACCCAACTTTGCAGACAAGTTTTTTTTTTTTATTCGTTAATTTATATATCAAAGATAATTTACATCAACCGTCTTACGGTATACAAGAGCTAAGTTGAGAAACCCAATCCAAACCCAAGTTAATTAAGGTGGGCGTGGCCCGCCAAACCCGCGGCCCATAGCGGGGGCGAGATGGACCATCTTTTCATAGGCCTGCCCTGCCCCGCCAAAAGGCAGGCTACGGGTCGGCATGCCGCCGACTAGTTTTGACAACTATAGTAATGAGACTAAAAAAAAAAGAATTGGTTCGATAAGCACAAAAAAATTCATAGAAATTGAAAAAGAACATAACCGTGTTATAATGGTTCGGTTAATTCGAGTCTTTAGTAATTGAATTGTAAAAAATAACCAAGAACCGACTTTGTTAAAAATTAGTCAAAAAATTGCAACTCATATGAGTACTCCCAATCTCTATTGAAATGTGTTCTCAACCTCTGTTGAAATGTGTTACTCATAAAAAATTTCTTGTAATTATTCAAAAAATCACGATGGTACCTACGTGATCGGTAAAGGACCAAGTCCTAGCCTACAAAATCCTACGACAAGGATATTACTGGACGACTCTTAAAAATGATGTCGTTGAACTAGTTCAAAAATGCGATCACTGTCATTTTTTGGCCCTCAACAAAGGCAGCCAAGCCAGACGCTTACCTCTGTATTCAGTCAATGGCCTTTCTCGTCGATCGCCAAGGGAGGAGTCAGGTATTCAATTGTGGCAGTCGATTGCTTGACAAAATGGGCCCAAGTTGAACCCTTGGCCACCATT